TCTTAACCACTGCGCCACCAGGGAGATCCCATTTCTGTTTACTTTAAATGCTACTAGAAATGATATTTTCTGTATCATACTGAATTTCCATAGGCTCTTAGACTCTCATTCATCTTCTTTATTTCATTTCCACATAGCTTAAGTTCCTTGGATCAGTTTTTCTTTGGGTTTATTCTTGTTTATCCAAACATGTACTTTCGGGGCTTGCACCTCAGTCAAAATTTTCTTCTTTGTATATTTCAGTTCTAGCCACTTCAGTAGCGTATGTCAGAGAATTTAATACCTTCTGGCATACATCTGTGTGCCTTCCTGCTTTGTACTCCAAATCCAATCTTCTAGTTGCATCTGCAAATGCATTTTCCCATGGGAGCATTTTCACTGTGATCTTTGTGTTTCCTTGATGTAATTTTCTTGGAAAACATATGGACTTTTATGTATACTTTACACCAGTGATTCTTAAACCAAATCAGGTTGTAAAGGTCCGTGGAAATCAAGAAGTGGAAGAACATGAGTTCTGATTTACTTCAAATCTATAAACAAGGCATAATTTTATCATCAGAAAGTGAATATTATATCACTGCAGATTTCTGCATTCCAACATAAAAGGAAAACTGCATGTAATTTGTAAGAAATCACATATCCACTCTTTCAGTTGACCTTTGATTGCTTCTTGCACGTTTCTATTTGTCACCTCTTACATGAGCTGGAGGACAAGAATGGGCAATAAATCTCGAAGGCACAGGACTTCCCTGGTGGTCCAGTGGGTAAGACTCTGAGCTCCCAGTGCAGGGGACCCAGGTTCCATCCCTGGTCAGGGAACTAGATCCCACTTGCATGGCGCAACTAAGAGTCTGCATGCCGCACTATGTTGCAACAGGATCCCACGTGCTGCAACTAAGACCCGATGCAGCCAAAATAAATAAATAAACTAATTAAATATTTTTAAAAATCTTGAAGGCGTGTTTATAGGAGGAAAACTGAAAATTAAGATGATTCTTTACACTTACTGAAGTTTTTCTAATTAGGAAAAGCCCACCAATATTCTGTTTTAGTAGTGGAGCAGCTTGAGAACACCAGTGTTCCAGAGGAGCACCTAGCAATCTGGTATGCAGTAATCTGACCATTTGACTAAGAATACTGCATTTACCAACTCAGAGATGATGCTTTGTTTTCAGTCATAAGGAGTCAGTATAGTTCCCATGATCCGCCCATTAAATGAGCAAAGTACTTATATTGGGTTGGCCAAAAATTTGTTCAGGTTTTTCCACAAGATGTTATAGGAGAACCCGAACGAACTTTTTGGCCAGCCCAATAAAAATGTAGCATTTCTAACGAATAAGTAAAGTGCATAGAGCAGTGCCTGGCACATAGTAAGAGCTATGTAACAGTAAGTTTTATTATTAGATTATTGTTGTTACCTGGGTTTCCTTTGGCACTTGGTAATATAATGTGACTGGAACCTCTTCTGGTGCCTTCACCAGGTCTGTCTTCTAACTTACTCTAGTTTTTGTTGTTGTTGTTGATTTTTGTTTGTTTCTTTTTGTTTGTTTGTTTGGCTGTCGCATGAGGGATCTTAGTTCCCCAACCAGGGATCGAATCTGTGCCCCCTGCAGTGGGAGCGTGGAGTCCTAACCACTGACCCACCAGCGAATTCCCTCTACTGACTCTAAAATAGGGGCTTGGGCCTTCCCTGGTGGTGCAGTGGTTAAGAATCTGCCTGTCAATGCAGGGACACGGGTTCGATCCCTGGTCCAGGAAGATCCCACAGGCTGCGGAGCAACTAAGCCCGTGTGCCACAACTACTGAGCCTGTGAGCCACAACTACTGAAGCCTGTGAGCCTAGAGCCCATGTTCCACAAGAAGAGAAGCCACCGCAGTGAGAAGCCCTTGCACCGCCAAGAGTAGCCTTCCGCCTTCCGCAGCTAGAGAAAGCCCGCACGCAGCAACGAAGACCCAACGCTGCCAAAAAAAAAAAAACGGGGGGGCTCACCTAATACCACATCTTTGGCCTCTGTGGTTCTCCTCTCTAGATATAGAGATAGAGATAGGGATATAGTCTTCCCCTCAGATTTCACGTATTCTCTTGACATGTGAGAAGTAGATGGAGGAGCTGGAGATGGTTAACCTGTAAGAGAGAAGAGTACATGGAGCATTTCCATAGGGCTGTTGGGAGGCTGAGGCAGTGGCCAGTCTCTGGATCAATGATTCTTCAATCCTCTGTAGTGACAGACTGCTTTGTACCTCTGATGCAAGCCCTTCCCCCAAAAAATGATTGAGCGTTTGCAGAGGCATCATAGACCTCCAGAAACCCATCCGTGGATGGGAAGGCTTCCTGCCTTGGTCTGGAGGGCAAAACGAGGACCAGGGAGTGGACGATGTTGAATGGGCAGGGAAAGAAGTCCTGGTTCAATATAAGGATGCTCTTTCTAACAGAGTGGTAGTTCTCCAACTTTGCAGGATTTTACAATCATCTAGGGCGATTTTAAAAATTCTGATGGCCAGGCTGTGCCCAGACCGACAAGAATCAGAATTTCTGTGGGTATAGTCTGGGCATTTTTACTTTTTATAAAGTTCCCCAGATGATTCCAAGATGCAGCCGAGTTCAGGAATCAGTAAATTAGAGTACCTTGCCATTGGAACAGTCTCTTTAAGTAGTGAGCACCTTGTCAGTGGAGATACTTCAAGCACAGAACATTTTTCTTATTGATTTGAACATTCTAACTACACTTAATCTCTCCTAAACAGTATCTGTTTCTTTGCTCTATTAACCTCAAGTTCAAATTTATTTTATTATTTAAGAAATGACTTCGCTTTTGATTCTCTGCTTTTTTTCTTTCCAATTGTACACTTGTTAAGTCTATGGGTTCTGTGGTATTTGCATTTGTAATTCAAAATTACAAAGGTATGAGTGTACTCATAGGAGCTTCTTTGGCCTGGGCAGCAACTGAAGTGAAATTTCACAATATGAAAGGCCCAGGCTGGTTTGCACAATCTGTCTGGTCCTTAATCATACTTCTGTTTGGAAACAGAATAGCACTTCTAGTTTTCAGTCACTTGTAATATCATTTCTTTCCCTTTCAGTGTTCATTCATTTCCTCTGATGTCATATTGGAAAAGATTAGGATGCCCAAAGATATTTGACCTTCCATAGGTACATGGAACTTGATTAGCATCAAAATGCCATTTTAAGCCTATGTGAAAAAGCCAAAATGGTAATTAAACAGATATTGTTATAAGAAGTTGCTGATCTCTACCTAGACAGAAAGTGAAAATGTATGCTTCTGGCAGGGGTCACTTTGGGGTGAGAGAGCAAGGCGTGTGGTCCCCAGTGGCCTCTGTCTCATTACAAGCAAAGTTTTCCTCAGGAAGGCCCTGGCCATTCATCAGCAGCCATTGTGCTGATGTAATATTGGTGGTCATTGCCTGGGCATTAGAGTCCATCCACACAGCTTGCAGGGTCCCCAGGAGGAACCCATCTGTGGGACTGTATTACAATCATGCTGGTTTTATAGATGAGCAAACAGACCTGGAAAAGTAACTCGCCCAACAAAACAGACAGCTAGGACATAGGATTGGAACCCGAGTCTGTGCTCTCCTGATAAGGATGATTACTTTCCTAACACTTTGGCTGGCTTATGAATGCCAAGTCCTATTTTTCAAGCTGGAAAAACATCAGCTAAAGATAGATAGCATCATCATCACCACCACCTACCACCACCACAGCCACCGACACCATCATCACCACCACCTACTCTATCAGTTCGCTAGGACTGCCACCACGAAGCACCACAGACAACAGAAGTTTACTGTCTCAGTTCTAGAGACTTGGAGTCCAAAGTCAAGGTGTTGGCAGGGTTCGTTCCTTCTTTTTTTTGGGGGGGGTTGTCTTTTCACTTTTTTTGTTTGTTTGTTTGTTTTGACCACGCTGTGCAGCATGTGGGATCTTAGTTCCCTGACCTGGGATCGAACCTGTGCCCCTGCATTGGGAGTGCAGAGTCTTAACCACTGGACCGTGAGGGAAGTCCCTCACTTTTTTTTTGTTATATCGAAGTATAATTGATTTACAGTGTTGTGTTACTTTCAGGTGTACAGCAAAGTGATTCAGTTATATATATACATAATAGATATAATATATAATTATATCTATAATATATATACTCTTTTTCAGAAAGAATATATATATTCTTTTTCAGATTCTTTTCCCTTATAGGTTATTATAAAATATTGAGTATAGTTCGCTGTGCTATAGAGTATGTCCTTGCTGGTTATCTGTTTTACACATGGCAGTGTGTATATGTTAATCCCAGACTCCTAATTTATCCCTCCCCCTGGGTTGGTACCTTCTGAGGCTGTGAGGGAGGGATGTGTTCCAGGCCTCTCTCCTTGACTTGTTGATGACCGTCTCGTCCCTGGGTCTCCTCACATTGTCTTCCCTCTAGGCATGTCTGTGTCCAGAGTTCCCCTCTCTATGTGGACAGCTTCATATAGGGTGGATGAGGGTGAACCAATTGACTTAGCTTTGACCACATTCTCCACCAGCTTCCTCAGAAGCCAAAGGATCCCCAAGCCGACATCCAGGGCTGTTCGGACAGGACAGAGGAGGTGGCTGGGATGCATCAGTCACACATAGCACGATGGTTCTCTTCATATTAGCACAGTATCATTTGGATGTTTTGGGAGTGGAGGGTAGGGATGCTTAACCCTACATTCCTACTCTGTAGGGGCACTTGGTACCCCATCACGAGAGACAGAGTCTGTGGTAACATCTTTCTACCCTCTTTTCTTCACTTCCAACTTTGGTCTTTAAATCCATCAGTCTTTAAAATTAGCCTTATCTTTTACAATGTCAATAGCTGGCAAAGGATGATTTTGTAATATTTCTTCTGTCTATTCCTGAACATATCTTGAAGATATTTCGCCTGAGTTGTTGAATTGCTTTAAAAAAAAAAAACAAAAAACAATACTAAATGCTAAGTTCAATTTGCATTTCAAACCACAGGAAGAAGATGTTAAAGACTTTAAGCAACCATCACAGTAATGGATCTCAGTCTGAAAAACGAGACTGAATTAGAAAATAGTGAAAATAATGAAATTCAAAGCACAGAAGAAACTGAATTAAACTATACTTGTCCAGATGAAAGAAGTGAAAAGAATCACGTTTGTTGTCTTCTCAATATCAGTGACATTACACTTGAACAAGATGAAGAAGCCAAAGAATTTGTCATTGGAACTGGATGGGAAGAAGCAGTGAGTATTTTCTTGAGTTAGGTCTCTTGCATGTCAGTGTTTTGATACAAGCCTTTTCTTTTACTATTTTCAAAAACAGTTACTATTGCCAAAAAAAAAAAAGTGTAAATGATGAAATATAGAAACCTTTTGGAACAGAGGTAGAATGTTAATGATGATAATAGCTGTACCTTTTATTGAGTATTTATGGCCACTCACTATTGGCAAGCACAGTACTGAATGCTTTACGTACATCAATTCATTCACTTTCTCAATAGTTCTGTGAGGCAGGTATTATGTGAGGCATAATATTATGTGAGACAGCCTCACTTCTTGGACAAGGATACCAAAGCACCCAAAAGGTGAAATGTGTCAAAGATCACCCAGGCAGTGGGCAAGGCAGGGCTTGAACCCAGCTCTTCTGGACTCCAGAACCCAAGCTGCTTAACTTAACCCAAGCTACTTAATTCCCCAAGAGACCTGAGATTTTTATCCTGGTGGTTCTACTCAGAACCCTGTGGGTTTATTCTTAGACTATTCTTAGAATCAGTAATAGAAATACAGTTCTAAATTTAGAACTGTAAGGGAATTTGGTCTAATCCAATGATTCTCACTTGCTAGTGTCACAACTGGTGGGGAGGGAGAAAGGATGCTACTGGATGTAGTGGGTAGAGGCCAGGAGTGCTTACAATGCCCAGGGTGGCTCCCACCGCAATAAATGGTCCAGCCTTTGGACTTCCCTTGCGGTCTAGTGGTTAAGACTCTGTCCTTCTATTGCAGGGGGTACATGTTCGATCCCTGGTGGGGGAACTAAGATCCCACATGCCACGAAGCCAAAAAAAAAAGAAAAAAGAAATGATCCAGCCTTGTCTTAGCTTGGGCTGCTGTAATAGAATACCATAGACTGGGTAGCTTAAGCAACAGACACTTATTTCTCAGTCCGAGGTCAGGGTCCCAGCATGGTTGGGTTCTTGGTGAGAGCCCTATTTCATTTTATTTTATTATTTTTTGGCTGTGCCATGCAGCATATGGGATGCAGAATCTTTAGTTTCCCAACCAGGGATCAAGCCCTTGCCCCCTGCAGTGGAAGTGTGGAGTCTTAACCACTGGACCGCCAGGGAAGTCCCCTCCTTTTCTTATAAGGGCACTAATCCCATCATGAGGGCCCTGCCATCTTGACCTCATCTAACCCTAACACCTCCCAAACACCCACCTCCAAATACCATCAACTGGGGATTAGGGTTTCAGCATAGGAATTTGCCGGGGGAGGGTACACAAACATGCAACCCATAAAAAAACCCCAATGTTGGTAGTGCCAATGTTGAGAAACCTTGATCTAATTGGTTTATTTTATAAATATGGAAACTGAGGCCAAAATAAGGCAGAGTGACTCTACCCAAGTCCACTTGACAGTTGCAAGAATGTGTCTTCGGGGCCTCCTCTGGTGCTCTCTCTACTGTACGCCACCCCCCCCCCCACCTCATTAAGCATATATGACCTATGACCTTCCATACACACACACCCAGATCAGGTAAGTCAAGGTGGTAGAGAGTTCTATTTAAGCATGGAAAACTTTCTAAGCTTAGAAGTTAGAAGGTTCCATTTCTAAGCTTAGAAGTTAGAAGGTTCAGTTTACTATTCAAGGTAATTACTTTGAAATACCAAGGGCTGTTGGAAAAGAATTTTCTTTTAATTGGAAAAATTGCCCCGTGTCCCATGCTGAGAGTACGTTTGCTGTTCACACTGTCTGGTATGACCATTTCCTCCTGCCTGCTGCCTGCTACTCTTTGCTCTCTCTGTCCAGCCCCCGACCCCTGCCCACCCAGCCCTACCCCACCTCTCAGACAGCCTTGCCTCAGGAGGGTTGACTGAGGTTTGTCCCTGCCCCCTGCAAAGGCTGGCTTCCTGCACTGGCTTATGGTCCCCTGACCCTTTCTGTGCTGGTGCCAGGGACCCCTGGGCCAGCATTTAGAGGAGGACAGAGAACACTTTGCTGGTAGCAATTCCTGAGAGTTTCTTAAGCTTGCAGAGCCAAGGGACCTCACAGGAGGCAGGTGATGGGATGTCTCAGGGCTGCACAGTGTTGACCCAGGCTGACCCAGTGCAGGAGCCTTTCCTATCACTACCCTGCTGTTTCTCCCCGTGGCAGCCTGTGGACGCCCACACCACTTGGTGGCTCTGTGGACACTCAGTCAGGAGGGAGGCACAGTCACCTTGCACTGCAGCTGGGCTCGAAGTCCTGGCAGACATCCAGACCTTTTTGGAAACACCTAGCTTACCTGTGACACCTCACCTGTAAGGACCAAAAAGGCAAGGTGTCATTGCCCCCTGCCCTGGGACTTGGATCCCCTGCCCGGCCATCTGAACACCCTGGAGATGTTGATCCTCTGTATCAGCCTCGACCCAAGGCTCATGTGGGTGCCTTTTTTTTTTTTTTTTTTTTTGGCTGTGCCTTGCAGCTTGCTGGATCTTGGTTTCTGGACCAGGGATTGAACCCGGGGCTTCTGCAGTGAAAGCGCCAAGTCCTAACCACTGAACTGCCAGGGATCTCCCATGTGGGGTGCTTTCTATTTTATTTATTTTTTTAAAAAGATATATTTATTTTATTTTTTAATTAATTTATTTTTGGCTGTATTGGGTCTTCGTTGCTGCACGCGGGCTTTCTCTAGTTGCAGCGAGCGGGGGCTACTCTTCACTGCACGCTTCTCACCGCGGTGGCTTCTCTTGTTGCACAGCATAGGCTCTAGGCACGCGGACTTCAGTAGTTGTGGCACGCAGGCTCAGTAGTTGTTGGCGCATGCGCTTAGCTGCTTGGCGGCATGTGGGATCTTCCCGGACCGGGGATCAAACCCATGTCCCGTGCATTGGTAGGAGGATTCTTAACCAGTGCACCACCTGGGAAGTCCCTGGGGTGCTTTTTAAAATCTACCTTCCCAGGGATTCCCTGACCCTTCCCAAGCCCCTCCCCTGAGTACTGGCTTAGTAGGTTGGGGTGGGCCTCAGGAATCTGGATTTTGAAAAGCAGCTCAGGTGACTCAGGGTCAGGCAACTGGGGAGCCTTCGCTGACTCAGCTGGACCTGTTTAACAGATTCAGAAAGACAAAAGCTCAGGGGTTGCTGCACATTTTAGGCTCCCCTCACTCAACATCCCGTTAAGCCAGAGTTGGCCTTTTCCACACACACAGCCTGGAGACAAATCCCCTTGCCTGGGTGGAGGTGGGGACCAAGCGACTTGCCTCACTCCACCAAAGCCACCATCTGGAGAGAGGCTGTCAGCCTGAGGACCTATTAGCAAATGGGCTGGGACCCTTGCTTTTCTGTAAAAGCTGGAAAACCACCTGGGGAGCCAGGGTCAAGAGCAGTGAGGTGTGAGGCAAGCAGCATGGTCCTCTTGAAGATGCAGTGCCGACCCTGCAGCACGTGAAGGGACGGGGTTCCCAGAACAGAGGCAGAGGGAGGGGGAAGCTGGGGAAGATGTGCTCAGGCTGACTCAGTGTGCAGTGCTGGGCAGCAGCCTTGTAGCCGTCCAAGAACTGGGACTTCACTATGCTAAAGAAAATGTTTTTCTTTTTTTATGAGAACATATTCAAGGTTTCAGCAGCACGTCTTTGGGAAGAGCTAGGCCTGTGGAATAAGAAAGTATCGGACTCCAACAGCACTTACTAGACTTTTTAAAAAAGTGATGCTGCAGGCTTCCCTGGTGGCCCAGTGGTTAAGAATCCGCCTGCCAATGCAGGGGACACAGGTTCGAGCCCTGATCTGGGAAGATCCCACCTGCCACGGAGCAACTAAGCCTGTGCGCCACAACTACTGAGCCTGCGCTCTAGACCCTATGAGCCACAACTACTGAGCCCTTGTGCCACAACTACTTAAGCCTGCGTACCTAGAGTCCGTGCTCCGCAACAAGAGAATCCATTGCAATGAGAAACCCACCCACCGCAATGAAGTGTAGCCCCTGCTCGCTGCAACTAAAGAAAGCCCGCACAGCAAAGAAGACCCAACACAGCCATAAATAAATAAATAAATAAAAAGTTCCCTTTAAAAAATAAAAAAAAAATAAAAAGGAGTTTTTCTTGACACTTATGAATTTCTAACAGGAATTTGGGGAGCTGAACACCTGAGGTGAGAGGGTGTGGAGGGTGAAAAGGGGATGATGGGAAAGGGATGTTTTTGTGCAGGAGGACCAGAGGCTGGCCCCATCTTCAGGCCCAGGAGACAATGCTGCTCCTCACAGGCTCTCCTTGTCCTCTGCTTGGGGATGCACAGACCTCCTGAATGTGCCAGCACTTGTTGGCTGTAAGGATGTTTTGAGCCTCAGTTTCCTCCTCTGTAACCTGGATATCAGAATACCTAAACTGTAGCACTCCTGTAAGGATTAAATGAACGAATGCCAAGAGATCCTCAGCTCAGTGCCTGGAACATAGTAAAATCGTGGGAGCTGTTTTTGCTTTTTTTTTTTTTTAACATACAAGGTTGCCAGATTTAGCAAATGAAAACACAAGGCACCCAGCTGAACTTGGCTTTCGGTAAACCTAATTAGTGTAAGTCTATCCCGAATGTGGCCTTGTGTTTTTATCTAACAGCTCTGTTTACCTGTGACCTCTGTGGCAGGGTCAGCCAGGGGACTCCGGGTGTGGCCGCGGGCATGGGTGTGCCTGGGCCCTGCTGACCCTGCGTCTGCCTCTGCTCCTCTGCCTTTCCTTCAGCCTCTCCGAGCAGCAGTCTCCCGGGTGTGGTAAACAGACCCTGCAGTACAAGAAAGGCTGGCAGAGGGGACAAGAACAAACAGTTTTGATTTTATTTTAATAATTCTGAATTTACTTTAACGCACATCTAAAAAAATGTAGAGTCAGCACATCAATGTGGCCATTTATAGATACTATCGCTTAGTATTTTCGTCTTTAAAAATACTGTTACAAATACTATTGCTTAGTATGAGGCTAAACTAGGCATGAGAAGTTAAAACTAAAACATTTAAGTCAATTTTTAGAGAAATATTGATTTAAATAGGACAGCCAAACTGGGAATGGGGCCAAAGTAGGGGCAACTGGAGTCTAGGCAGCTCAGCTGAGAGTAACACGCTGTTTTATTTGCAGGTCCGAGGCTGGGGAAGGATTTCTCCAACTGCCTGCATCTGGCCCAGGAAGAAGCTTAAAAAGGCGAAGATGGGAGAAAGTGCCAGCAGCTGCTTACTCTGTGTCAGCCTCTCCCAAGGGAGCCTGGAGGCCAGGCTTCAGTCGGAGGCCAGGCTTCAGTCGGAGGCCGGGAAGTTGGAGTCGGGCGCTTCAGCTCCGGCTGAGGCAGGGCCGGAGAAGGATGGAGGCAGCCTCTCCCAGACTCCGGGCCCCCCGCCAGGCCCCAACACTGCCTACCGGGAAGTTAACAGGATCTGCTTTCCCACTTGCAGTCAGGGAGAGAAAAAAAGTCTGCAAATAAAAGAGTTTATTTGGTGCCTGGAAGACTGGGCCACTCCCGAGGCTGTGAGGGGCAACGACCCCGGAAGCCCCAGCGGAGGCGCTGACGGAAGTGCCTCCGTGGCAGACTCCTTGACTTCCAAGGCCCATTTAGTTCTACCTGCCCTGAAGTCTTCACCCCCAAATGGCTTGGATGTGCCAGGTAAGAAGAGTCAGAACTTTTTCTTGCAGCAGGAAGAGAAGGGGCTGAGCGTGGCGAAGGATGAGCAAGTGGCTTGTGCATATGGGGTGAAAACAGTTGACGGGACAGGTGAAAAGAGGCCCATTGAGCTGGCCAAGCACCACAAGGTGAAGGAAACGCAGCCTTTCCCCACCCCGGCGGCCCGGACATCCCTGCTGGCCGGTCCCGAGCCCTGCTGCCTGCCCTGGTCCCTTCTGCCTGAAAAACACCTGGTGTGCCCTCCCCACCACAACAGTGTTCGCTATCTCGCCACCCTGCAGCTTGTGGAGAAACAAGGAGCGCAGACCTACAAAGCCAAATTCAAAGCCAGGGAGCCGAGACCTCCCATGAAAACCCCACACCGCGTTCTCACAGCGGCCAAGCCGGAAAACAGGCCCCAAACGCTGGAGACCAAAGTGTTCTCAAGACCTCTCTTGCCGTCCCTCACGGTGAGCAGAGTTGTTATGGCCGTTCCCACTCACAGACTCCTCTGAGTTGCCATGATGTAATTCCCTGGGAATAAGCACCGTCTGAAAGTTGTTCATCTTCTCTTCGCTCTCTCCCTCCTGCCCCAACCCCAGTCTCTTCCTCATCCTCCCCCTTGTCTTCTCGTACACTTTTCTCTCCCCCTCTCCCCTGGTGCTTTTTTGTAGTATAATCAGGGGAAATTGAACCTCATTGTACGGGTTTTGATGTGCTCTCAAAGCCCCGATATTTATGTGTTACCTGCTTCTATTGCTTAGCCGTTTACAAAACGCAAACTGGTAATGCCAGTCTCAGCCTCTGCCTGACTTATCTCTGCACTGGAAGACAACTGGATGGTGGGGAATCTGAAGGGCCTCCCTCAGGGATGCCCCCATGCCAGCCCTGAGCCAACCTGCAGGGGCTCCTGCCCCCTCAACCCCAGTGCCTTAAGCCAAGGGTACTGGGCATGTGTAGACCACATCGTTTCTTGATCTTTTGAACCTGGCAGATGTCTGTCTGTTGCCGCATTTTCTCTTGCAACAAAGATCTGCTTTAATAGAAACAATGTTATAAGAGAAAAATTCCAGCCTGTGTCCAAATGAATATCCTCTGTCCAAGGTGGTGTATCCTTATATTATATCCATGGATGTACGGTATCCCTTGTTTCCTATATGCCCCAGATTTCATATATTATAGCCTCATGCTTGTCACACATTTCATATATTTCATATATTATAGCCTCATGCTGGTCTCTGTGTCTGGGAAGTTTTTCTTACCATTCTACAAAATTCATCTTGGGAGGCAGGTTAAGAATAATTTTTTTTTTAAATGTCGCTGTGATTATTATCAGCACACATGCTTCCTCCAGTCTTACCTTATAACTACTATTTGGGAACTCGACAATCCCAAACAGACAAGTATGGAATGGGGCTGTGACTTTCTTCCTTCTTCCATCTTTCCTCTCCCCTCATTTTACCCGAGTGCGTATTTCCTGAAGTTGTATATAAATTAAACTTTTGTAAATTAGTTATATTTTAAATGTGAAGTGACAATGCTATGTAGAGAAATGCTCTGAAGAACCATTCTGTAATATGCATAACCATTTAGCCGCTCTGTAATTACATAGTTGGCATGTGCTTAAGGTAGGTTGTACTTGAACTCTAGGCTTTCCGTCTCCTAAATGATGGGCAGACAGAATATATGACTGTATTTGTAAACATCTGCTTTCCATAACTGGTCTTTGTGATGTCTTGTCTAAGTTTAGGTTTTTTGGTTTTGTTTTGTTGGTTTGTCTTTACAAAACACCAGAAATGCAGGAGTGACTATAGTACAACCGTCACTGAAAGGCGTATTTTGCCTTTTGAGGTCATACACTATTTTATAGTCTAGAAGCAGTTAACAGGTTCTACTCATTCTTTCTTCTCTGAATGAAGAAACCATCTGGATTCATCCCCAAGAAGAGGCCCTGATTTCCCACTGTGTCTGGACAGTGGAGGTCTTGGACCCAGTACTGTTTGAGGACCCTCCAGCTCTGGCAGCCTGCCCACCTAAGTCAGTGGTTTTTCAAGCCCCTCTTTATAAGCTGCAGAATAATGAATAAGCTCACTATGTAAAGCAGTCTTAAGTGTTTGATTGGGAGGGAAAAAGTATCCACCAGTATGAGGGACAAAGCCCACCTGCTCAGCCCAGATGTACTTACCTGTTGAGATCTTGAGGCAGTTTGAACTGATCCAAGTTACAACATAATGTTTTTTTTTCTTAAGAAAAACTCATTTGTTGAGATAAGGGTTATAAATTCTATAGCTTTGGGGGTAAACATAATAATTTAGAATTGAGGAGAGCCAGTTTGAACAAGGGAAGGGCCAAATTTAAAGGTTTGTAGTATCTTTTTTGAGCAAATAATTTGGTCAACAAAATGTTGACTAGAAGATCCCTCTGTGAATAGATAAGAATGCTTTGCATTTGGCATCTTTTTCTTTAGGTAATTATTCAAGTACCTGTTAAAGGCCCTCTGATATCTTATCTGTGTTAGCCGTGGTTTAAATTGTTTCTCTGTGGATAGTCACTCTAGGCCTTGTCCCAATTTCTATTCAGATTAAATCAGGACATCCAAACTGGTCTTTGATGTCCAAGTGTAGATAAAGGCTAAATGTTTACTAGAATGCAGCCCCCCCTTAGGGTTCTAGGTCACTAACAAAAATCCTGCCATTTTAAGGAGTTAAGCATGTTACAATTCAGTGCCAGTGGCCCTCTTCCTACCTCCAGGTGATGATCTCAGTTAGGTTTTGGTTCCTCTAGTCCTCCCCAAACCAAGCATGGAGGGCTCTGTGTTTCACCCCTCATTCTGTTATGTTTGGCTGTCTCATTAGTAAAGCTTTCCAAACCCTTATTCTTTTTTGAAATTAAAAAAATCACCGAGTGGAACTGTGGCAGCACCCGACAGAGGGCTCCTGCAGGGCCTGAGGTCAACTACTGGGTGAGGCCAGGCTGAGGTGTGGGGATGCTCCTGGGTAAGGGCAGGGCCATAGGGGCTGGAAACCTCGGAAAGAGTATAGATCTGACAGAGAGACGAGGGACAAGGCCAAGGGGAAGACTAAGAATAAGACCCGGAGACATTTGGACAAGTATGTAGGGCTTTGGCTACTCAGGGAGACTTTCCCTAATTTTTAGCTATGTTCTTTTTATTCTGGACTTTGCCCCCTATTGTGAAATTTACCTGTACTTCCAGGACCATGCTATGACTTGAACCCAGAATCAAATTTGCTTTCAACCTCTCTCGAAGCACGGGAGCCCCAGCCCGTCTCCCTGCGGGCTCCCCCAGCTGGCCAAGCAGGCCGAGCTGCACAGTTGGAGTCCCGCATCTGGGACTTTTTGGGTGTCTGGGCTTGGGTCCAGTGCAGCCTTAGTGCTGCAGTTTAGGGGCTACGGAAAAGTCAGATGGGGAAGAAACGGGCTCCTGTGGCTGTGACTGAGGGCAGATGAGGGTGGTCCCTGGTACCAGGGGCAACACTCTCCAACTGTCTGCCAGGCTAACTGGGGCACTGGAGCCAGGAGAGATTCAGTGCTGTGCGCTTGATGCCCAGGCTAAACTCTGACCCGAGCTCCACTAGCCGGTCACATGATACAATAATTCCACTTGAATTGGCAAGGCACTGTTCTAAGAGTTCAAAGCCTCTTCTGGGTATTATCTCTTTTTATCCTGAGCAAATTCATGAGGGTCAGGGATCATTTTCTCCTGTGACCCAAGGAGAATCCAATCAACAGAGAGCTTGTGTTTAGTCAGGGCTGGTGTGCACCTTGGGCGTCTGAAGGTGCCAACTTATCTCCAAGGTGAGGGAACAGCTGGAGCACTGGGTGGAAAGTATCATATAAGGCAGGAAGGAAGGCTTCAGAATGTCATTCCTTCCTGTAAGATGGGAACAATTTGACATAGGATGTGGTAAAGACGAGGAGGTAATGTATGTAAAACAAATCAAATAGAGGTCTGATCTGTGGTCTTCCTGAATGTGGTGATCAGATCAAATACAAATAGCTGGATCATTTCCCTTTAATGAATAGCTGTTCAAAATCACCTAGAAATCCTGCGGGCATGGCCAGTTGTCATTTGGAGTTCGATGGGTCTTCACTCTTTAAAAGTCCTCAGACGGCTTCCCTGGTGGAGCAGTGGTTGAGAGTCCGCCTGCTGATGCAGGGGACGCGGGTTCGTGCCCCGGTCCGGGGAGATCCCACATGCCGCGGAGCGGCTGGGCCCATGAGCCATGGCCACTGAGCCTGCGTGTCCGGAGCCTGTGCTCTGCAACGGGAGAGGCCACAGCAGTGAGAGGCCCACGTACCGCAAAAAAAAAAAAGTCCTCAGAACTCAGCTTCCTAACTTGTGGACTCAGGGTCCTTGCTTGGGACTCCTGTTAATCCATGGGCCATCTTCATTCCCTGGCCCTTTTCCTCATCCTGTTTTGCTTGAATTTCCACTGCACCAGTCTGAACACCATTGCTCTGCAGATTTATACCATGCCTCTCATACTGATTTTGTGTCACCTTGAAGTGTTGTAGCAAAAAATTTACTTTTCCAGTTTAATCTCCCAGATCAAAACTATTGTATATCTTCCTGAACACAGTCTTAGGATAACTCCAGATAACAAGTAAAACTAGCTCCATCAACCTTTTTCCTAAGAGCTGAGAACTAGGATTTTTTTTTTTTTTAATAGCCCAGCTTTCCCCCTGGACATTGTTGACTCTGCCCTATAAAATGAGGGGATTAATACCTAGGGTCCCTCCTAATTCTGTCATTTTAGTGCAGTTAACTTGACTGTAAATATTACCAGACACTCAAAATGTGAACAGTTCTTTTTGTTGCAGATTTGCGATCAGACTTCCTCTGGATGCTGGCTTTTGTAGTGTGAAATTTAAAAAAAATCTAAATGAATTTCAATTTGTACATTTCAAAAGTTGTTTATAGTAAAAATCCTAAAGAGATTAAGAAAAAAAATTATTTTACATAAGACTATGAGAATTCAACTTTACTAACACATTCTTTATAAACAACACATGTACTTTTTTTTTTAAGACAATTTTTTAGAGCAGTTTAAAGTTCATAGCAAAATTGAGAGGAAGGTACAGAGATTACCCATATGCCCCCTCTCCCCCGCAACAGATGCACAGCCTCCCCCAGAATCAGCATCCCCAGAGTGTGGACATTTGTTACAAATGATGAATCTACGCTGACATGTCATAATCACTTAAAGTGTTTACATCAGCGTCATTCTGGGTATTGTATGTTCTGAACACACATACTTTTTTTTGAATTTTATTTATTTTTTATATAGCAGGTTATTAGTTATCTATTTTATACTTATTAGTTATCTATTATATATATATTTTATTAGTGTATATATGTCAATCCCAATCTCCTAATTCATCCCACCACCACCCTCTGCCGCTTTCCCCCCTTGGTGTCCATACGTTTGTTCTCTACATCTGTGTCTCTATTTCTGCCCTGCAAACCGGTTCATCTGTACCATTTTTCTAGGTTCCACATATATGCGTTAATATACGATATTTGTTTTTCTCTTTCTGACTTACTTCACTCTGTATGACAGTCTCTAGATCCATCCACGTCTCTACAAATGACCCAATTTCATTCCTTTTTATGGCTGAGTAATATTCCATTGTATATATGTACCACATTTTCTTTATCCATTCATCTGTCGATGGGCATTTAGGTTGCTTCCACGACTTGCCTATTGTAAATAGTGCTGCAATGAACATTGAGGTGCATGGTGTCTTTTTGAATTATGGTTTTCTCTGGGTATATGCCCAGTAGTGGGATTGCTGGGTCATATGGTAATTCTATTTTTAGTTTTTTGAGGAACCTCCATACTGTTCTCCATAGTGGCTGTATCAATTTACATTCCCACCAACAGTGCAAGAGGGTTCCCTTTTCTCCACACCGTCTCCAGCATTTGTTGTTTGTAGATTTTCTGATGATGCCCATTCTAACTGATGTGAGGTGATACCTCATTGTAGTTTTGATTTGCATTTCTCTAAAATTAGTGATGCTGAGCAGCTTTTCATGTGCTTCTTGGCCATCTGTAGGTCCTCTTTGGAGAAATGTCTATTTAGGTCTTCTGCCCATTTTTGGATTGGGTTGTTTGTTTTTTTAATATTGAGCTGCAAGCTGTTTATATATTTTGGACATTAATCCTTTGTCCTTCGATTCATTTGCAAATATTTTCTCCCATTCTGAGGGTTGTCTTTTCATCTTGTTTATGGTTTCCTTTGCTTTGCAAAAGCTTTTAAGTTTCATTAGGTCCCATTTGTTTATTTTTGTTTTTATTTCCATTACTCTAAGAGGTGGATCAAAAAAGATCTTGCTGTGATCTATGTCAAAGAGTGTTCTTCCTATGTTTTCCTCTACGAGTTTTATAGTGTCTGGTCTTACATTTAGGTCTCTAATCCATTATGAGTTTATTTTTGTGAACACACATACTTCTTTAATGTTCCAATGCTCAGCTGATATTGCATCCATAGCAGTGCTTACAATTCCACTCCACCAACTGGCCCTATGCCTCGGGCAGGACTTTTCAACCTTCACTGTTGGCATTCAGGAGCTGGATAATTCTTTGTGGTGGGGCTGTTTTGTGCACAGAGGGATATTGAGCAGCATCTCTGTCCCTCTACCCACTAGATGCCAATAGTCCCCTCCCAGTTGTGACAATCAAGAATGC